CCCCAAAACCCCAAAACCCCAAAACCCCAAAACCCCAAAACCCCTTTTTTTAACTTGATGATTGAAAACATAAGCCTGATACATTGCTTCTACCTAGGCAAGCGATTCTCTCTTCCATGTCGAGTGCCTGCAGTCATATTCTGAGTCCCTCCTCCAGGCCTCCTTTGGATTGACCTCTGAGTATTGGTATTTGTGTTCCGAGCCCTTTTCTGCGGAATTTTATTACTTGATCCTTGAACTTTGCTCCCTCTTATTATAGCTGTCCAACTGAAGACTTGGAATCGGCTCTTTCTCCATCAGCTCTTCCCCCAGAGAGAAGTGGTTGATCTCCTGAATTGTCTCCAAGTGTTGTCCTATCATAATATTGAAAGTTTCTTTTATCTTGATGCTGGGATGGCTCAGCATTCCTACGGTTAGAATATTCTCCCTTAGAATCTTCTACCTTATTATTTTCATTCCGTCCATGGCCACGATCGATTTGGCCAGTATTATCAGATATCACAATATTGTTTAAATTATCCCGCCTGTGCTGGTCTTCATGATGAATTGTAATATTATCTGTATGCCCACTATCAACTCCATTATTCTCTCTTCTACTCATATCATTATCTTTGTTCCTATCCTGGGCAGCATTAGGATCTCTAACGTTTGTTAATCTCTCGATGATATCTGTCCCATTTTCATTTTGATTTGTATTCCTGTACTGCCTGGGTCTGTCATCCTCCGATTCCTCTTCTTCAGATTCTTCACTGCTACTCTCGCAATTATTTTTGAAAATATATACCGTGGCCTTCAGGATTATTTGATTTAGGATTGACTGGGACCCACCAGATCCATTTATTGACACCCATTACTTGGTAGATATTATGCCAGAGGTCAATATCATATCGACTCTCGTACAGAGGATCTGATTCATGCTCCATATTCTCGATTGTAGTTTTATTTTCCCTGATTAGTTTACGATGGAAACTGAAGAAAAAAGACATCATAATTCAGATCAAGCCGACGAAAATATATCAGATTAATATGATTATCGCTTTCCGTATCTCGCGGTAATGGAATTTTGAAGTTGCAATATCCGTGTAGATCGCATTTATACTCCATATGACATCGTAGGACCAGCATATTAGCACAAATATAGTTGTTATTTGGACATAGAATAGTAGTAAAATGAAGTACTTTCTATTTTTGAACCCGATACAGTTATTAACCCATGGACAGTGGTGATCCATGTTCAGCACACATCTCCCACATGCAGAGCAGTGGTGACATCGTTCTGGTTTATACAAATTTCACATGAGGCAGTATCTTCTCCTTCGATTTTCAGGATCTCCAACTCTAAAGCCCCAATATATTGGAACCTCACCTGGATCCATGAGGAGGGTCATAATGAAGGACCACATGAGCATGATTGCTAAAAAGTTGAAGCAAATTAATATCGGGATTGCATATATCCTCATATCTGTGCTTAGCCTAGGCCACCAAGTCATTATTGCAAAACAGTAATACTCAGTGAGTTGCACAATGAAGACTATCACAACCATGAAGTTTCCGAGGGATCCTTTCAAGCTTCTTTGCCTATTATTAAACATTTTCAAACTTTTCCTGCTGATTATTTTTATTATTTATGAAATTTAATTAAAAATTTTGTTCATATTTGGGGTTTTGGGGTTTTGGGGTTTTGGGGTTTTGGGGTTTTGGGGTTTTGGGG